TATTTATATCCTTAGCATCCAGCACAGTACTTGACACACTGTAGATGCTTAATAAATGCTGGTTGATGACTACCTGATAGCAAGTCAGGATTTGAATGCAAGTCCTGTGACTCCTCACATAGCTTTTGTTCTATCACACAGTGCTCCAGAAGAACTGACTTTGAGACAAATGGGATATGAGTTTGGGCTCATAAAAATGATGTTGACCATAATCAATTGTGGTTTAAAATGAGGTAGACACATCATTTCCTTTATCTGCTTCCTTTTGGGAGGTGGCACCTTAGTTTTAATTCTTTCACGTTATACTTCCTTTACATCCTTGCAATCAATTTGAAGTGTTGAAGCTGCTTCTAGACTTGGGAGAACAAAACTTTACTGAAGCTCACTCTTCAGCAAAGACAATATGAAGTGATATGGCAGTATACCCAGAGTTGTCAGGGTACGGGGCAGAAATCCTGTGTTTTTTTGGTGAAGTGCTAAGGGTTTGGCAAGTGCATCAGTTAAGACCACAGCAGCTTGAACCTTGGACATCATAGGTTATGTTTCTCAGTTTGTCTGCCTTCACAAAATTACAAGTGAGTAAAATGTGTTGAGACTGGATAGAAATTTTAAAAATCCTGCAGATTAATGTGTAGAAGCATTACTAGAGAGCCAAAACAGAGCTATCCAACAGATCAAGTGAAGTGGAGTGTCAAGGCTGTTATTTGGATAATTCAGGCAAGAAATAAATGGCTACTCATGAAAAAAAAAAGATAGAGGTTTGACCTGAAGGCTCAAGAACTGCCTGCCTCTACATCGACCCAATTCAATAGATACTTGCTCATTTATTTACTTACTTTGCTTGTAAAGAAAGACAGGGACAATTATGCCACGAAGCTCTTGTAAATTTATTCCTAGGACTATCCATATGGGTAATAATTTTATATGAAATGCTTTGCCTTTAAGTAGAAGTGATCAGGAACACCCCTCTCATTTTACTTTCCCCCTCACTGGCCAACTTGCCCTTGTCTTGCCTTGAATTGAATAGTTATTTATGGACAAAGAAGTCTCCACTGCTCACCTAATGAAATGAGTATTGGGCCATCAGACCTACTCATCCAAGAGCAGATTATGTTATCATAAAAATGAATCGTATACCAAGCAACTAGAAGCAATCTCTTAGGCAAAATAGCTATTAAAACATAATCCCTGTCATTTAAGTGGTACAATTACTATCAGTACCTGAGAGTATGAATGCTTAAGATTGTATATCCCACAGAGTATAATAAATATGGTACATATGATATTGTAGAAATCTACCCATTTGACAGTAGAGAAGAGTAAGCTAATTATATTTCCTCTGATGGGGAGAAGACATGAAGCAAGCTAATATCAAAAGCAAAACCAAGCATATGAATTTCCCTTTTAATAGTTTTTTTGCTTGGGGCATTTTTTCACCGGGCTTTCTTAAATTATTTTTTGTTTACTGTTTCTGTCTACCTAAGCAGTAGATTTGATTTACTTTAAATTGCAAAAATGTTCATAAAACGTAACAATTTCAAATATGTACATTTAGCAGCAGCTGACACCATCTATTCATGTCATCTGAACGTAGTTCTTAGGGCAAAGAAACCTGCAAGTCAATAATATATAGACCATAATTTAACAGCTGCAGCTAAAGGAAAGTCTAGAGATGACAGTGAAATATACATATTTCCTCAATTTGGTTATAAGCTGACATTGAAGATGTTTACAGAGACAGAGAGAGAGGGAGAATGTATTGGGACTCTAACAGTCAATGAAACTAATATTTCCATGGAATTTGTATAGGAGGAAAAAATTCTTATTTTTTGCTTGCTTTCCAATGACAACAGAATGTTTCTATTTTTCACATAATGAGGAAGAGTACACTATTTTATCCTTACACTTTTAGGCCCAGAGTCTGAGTTTTAGCCCTATCTAATGCCATTCTTAATTAGAAACCAGTAATGGCACAGCTTATCGAATATTTTATTTCTTCCTTCAAAAATCCACATAGGATTGTTTGGTGACTTTACTTTGAAGAAAATGTCTTTTATTACTTATTTTAGTACAACACATTAAAATCAAATATCTCCTGTAGCAAAACGATTCAAGTCCCTGGAACTCAAATAATTTTCTAATAAAAAATGCATGAGACAAATAAATGCACTTTATGTTCCACAAGAAAAGGCAGTTTCAACAGGCTAATGCTCAGAGAAAATTCATTTTATCAACCAGCCATTTCATTCTTTGGTGCTGTTACAAGCGCCTTCCAGTTGCTAGGCAACCATAATTCATAGTACCTTTTAATGGATACTCTGCTACTGCTGAGAACATTAAGGTGAAGAGAATAAATGCCTTGGGTGAATCTTGAAATCTTTCATTATGCATGTCATTCTATTTCTGTAATGCTATAATGCTGAAATGTTTCTGTGGCAGGAAACTGAGTTGGGGTAATTGCATATTCCACTCATATATGTTTTGTAAGCAGAGCAGCACGTACTTGTCTAAAATGAGTTATTTCAAACATGATTGAAATTGGACTTTTCTACTTCTAAAGGTAGTAAATAAATCTAAAGGAAAGAAAGAATAGGTTTAGAGTAAAATGTCTTGAAATTTCTAGTAAGAATGACAAAATTCTACAGCACAAATCAAAAGTAATCAAGCAGTTTTCAGTCTGATTAGAGAGGTATATATATCAATACGTAGTATATGCAACTTAAAATGTAAAAATACATCAAAGGCTTCAATCCATTAGCTATAAAGGAAATCTCTTAAAACAACCCAGATGAGCTTTGTGGACTAGTTTATGGATGCTAGAAATACTTATGTGAGCCATTCAAATGTATCCAAGTTTTTTACTGAATCTGAATGATTGGTTTGTCTGTGGTATATTTTCACTTCACTGTGAATTGGAAAAGGTAAGGTATATTAACTTACTATTCTGATTATTTGAATTACAAAGAAATTTACTTATTCCTAAAGAGTATTTTCAAAGAAAATAAGGATGATGTATATTAATTATAGTCCTTTAAGAAAACTCCTTGGCCTTTGCCTCAGTACCATTATCTTTAAAATTTCTGTTTTCTGCTTTGCAGGGTATGTGGTTTCTGCAAATGATAAAGGAGAAACCATCTACTGACAATACATTTAAATTGTCCCTGATGGCTTTTACTTGCTGGGTGACATCAAGTTCAGGATTGAAACAAGATTTATGGTTCTAGCAATATGACATGGAAATGTAAAGATGGAGAGTGAAAAAATGCAATTCTCTGTCTAAATGAGGGCATAAAACCCACCAAATCTGGACATTTCCAAATATGGGGATATTCAGACAATATCTGGAAAAGTAAGCATTGCCTGAATTTGTGACTTATCTCATGGTATTTTGGAGTTGTGAATACTCAACCTATCTATTCTGGGGGAAAGTAGATGAGATGAAAACACTGATGAGTCATTAGAACTGGAATATTACTTTTGATTATTCACTGGGGACTTGGATTATAAAATTTATTTATTTTGAAATAACAGGGTGAATTATTGTCCATAATTCAGTGTAAAAAGTGATACTTTGGTCTCTGGCCACCCCATGTTTTTTGTTGTGCTGAAATACCTATATTGATTGTTTGGAAACCCTGTCCTATCATGAACATCTATGAATTCTAGATCAGGTCCCTTAGGATGATTTTAACTAGTCCAGTGTTCTGTCATCCTTGTTATTACAAAGCATTTGAATGACTTTGTATCTCCCTGTGCTATCATAGCCAACTGGCTGGGTGAATGCTCACCGTGTGGCAAAAACATGGAAGATGAGGAAGAAGGCCACTGGTCTAGAAAACAGCACTATTGGAAAGTTTTAAAATCTACTCTTGAATGAAGCTTTAAGTTTTATCAAAGGCCTCACCTTACCAGATGAAATAGATTATTGAAATTAGAAATTAAGAAAAGTTAGAGCTGAATCAGTAAGATTAGGGACTCTAAGGAATACGTCCAATTCTGAAGAATTGGCTTTGAATCCAGTACTAAACAAATGTCTCAGCATGAGTATTAAGGGAATTTGTAAATTCCATTACAAATGGGTATTGGACTCCATTGTTTTAGATTAGCTGTTAAATTGAGGGTCCTGATCATGTGCCATCATTAAAGGTCCCTTGGTAAATGTCCTTCTTGCAAGAAGAGACATGTTAGTCAAAGGGTCCTGGCCAAATTCCAACTGTGTAATTGCATCCTATCTAAATTCTCCATGTAGTTTCAACTAGGGAAGTGATCTTTTATTTTTTTTTTAAATCGCTAGTACAAAATTCAGATGCAGTATATTGTTACACTGTTCAACAACTGACATCTTTTACCTGATTTAAATATAAAGGTAAACTTTCTATCAACCCCCTCCCCCGTACTTGTGTTATTTTTCAAAGTTTAATAAAGTATTACTACTGATCATTTTCTAATGCTTGCCAATATTTCTAGTTCTAAGAATCTTTTTTTATTTTGTACCTGTAAGGTGGAATATAAAATAATTAGAGGATTATTGAACGTTAAGACTGTAAAGAACTTTAGAGATCACCTAGTCTATTAGGTTCTTAACCTTTTTGTGTGTGTCATTGACCTATCACTTTGAAAACCTGGTAAAGTCTATGGACCCTTTCTCAGAATAATGTTTTTAAATAAGTGAGAGAAATGCTAAATTTCAGCTAGAAATAAGTGAAAATAAAGATGTAATGTTTTTCCCATTCAAGTTTATGGAATGTAGTAGAGGCTTGGCTGGCATCCTGTTCAAGATCAATGTTATGACAAAATGAGGCATTCATAGGTCATTGGACAATTAACAAAATTTTAAAAAGGTTTACTTACCCTTAAAATAGAGACTATTTAAGAATGATACCGTACTTAGTTTCCCTCATATGGAAAAGCATTTGGTCAACAGGTGTGGTGATCTGATTGGACCTCTGCCAAGTCTGAAAGCCCTAACCCCATGTGGGTGGGTCTTTTTATGCCCTTAGGTAACCAGGAAGTCAAATCAACATGGTCATATACTACCAGGAGGCTGCATCAATCGAGGGTAAGTTCAGCTTTACTCTATCTTTAGGCCAATCAACTACCATCTTTGTTACCTTTTAGGAAAAAACTAGCCTAATTCATATTGCAGGTGGTAGAGGGAAACCCTAGTAGATACTGGCCCTACCAGAGACTCCTTGAAATCTGTCTATAGACACCCCCTCCCCATCAACAACCTGTAATCTAGTCTAACCTTCTCAATTTCCAGAGAAGATGTTAAGAATCTAGTTAAGAGAAATAACTAATATTTAAAAAAAACACAACTAAATATTGAGTCAAAAGACCTGACTCTATAGCTTACTAACTGTATAACCCTAGGAGAGCTACTCAAATCCTTTGGGGCGCTGGGTCCTCATCTAAAAAAAAGGATGATAATATATGACCTATATATCTCAAAGATTTGTTATAAGAATCATTTACCAATTGTAATATAGCCCACTTGTCTATCCATTGTTCTTTGTCTATCACGCCTACCCAAGTCACATTTACTAAGGGACTAACTCAATGACCTGCACAACCCATTGTATGTTATAATTTGGCCATAAATAGTTTTGACTGACTTACTGACTGACCAGTATGTACTTTTTAAGTCACTTTATTTTTTGGGTTTTTTTTTTGGTTGGGCAATGGGGGTTAAGTGACTTGCCCAGAGTCACACAGCTAGTAAGTGTTATGTGTGCGAGGCCAAATTTGAACTCAGGTCCTCCTGAATCCAGGGCCAGTGCTCTATCCACTGCACCACCTACTGCCCCCTAAGTCACTTTCTTTTGCCAAGGTCACTGCTTACTGAGTCACTTCCCTTCAAATGACTATGAATTTCACTGAGGAGCTTTTGTACTGTTTCAGGGTTTAATTAAATTAGTACAATATCAATTTACAGAATAAAACACAAAGTTCTCAACCTGGTATTTTAAAGTCATCCACGATCCAGTTCCAACCTGCATTCCCAGCCCTATTTTGCTTTATTCCCTTTCAAACACTATTACCTTTTAGCCAAGGTGAGCCATTGGTTGTTGCCTGAACTTGACAAGCCATCTGCTGCCTCCATAGTCAGGCATGCCATCTGCTATAAGATCATTCTCTCATGTCTGGAATGTACTTCCTCTTGACCTCTTCAATGGAGTCTTTAGCTTTCCTTAAGGACCAGGTTAGGTGATATCAACTCAATGAAGCCTTCCCTGATAGTATTCTCTCTTCTCAAATTTACTTATCTGTTACATATCTCCCAGTAGAATCTAGGTTCCTTGAGGGCAGGGACTTTGGGTTTTGTTTTTATATCCCTCCAAAAACCACACTTCTGGTCTTATGCAATGCCTTTCACATAGGAGGAGCCTAAAAAATGATTGTGAATTGAACTGAATCACAAAAGTCAATGATATGGATGTGTGAAGGCACTTTTTAAGATGTGAAGTTCTATGCAAATATAAGGTTACCCAGAGGTAGTTCAGTGGTAGAAGCTCAATGAAAACCCTGGTCTTCTGAGTCTTTCTTGTCCTAGATATGATTTGACATCCTGATATTCCTTGTAATGCAAAAGAACTAGAAAGGTATGCAAATAATCTCTAACCATGATTTCATTGAATATTATCTCTTGGTTTAGGAAACAGACGATTCATGAAAAGACATAGAAAATGCAATTTTGTATAGCAAGTTCAGTCTTATTTGTATCACAAAATTAGTGATTTGTCCTAATGGGTGAAGAAAAAAATGAAATGCAGCAAGCTGAATACTGTTGCTGAGGGAGAGTTCTGGCTTAGGGTGGGTTAATTATCATACCGTAGGGGTGGGGAACCTGTGGCCTTGAGGCCACACATGACCCTTTAAGTCTTCAAGTGTGGCCTTTTGAATCCAGAGGGCCACATGTGGCCTCAAGGCAGGTTCCCCACCTCTGAGTCCTGGACTACCCTGAGAGCTGAAGTTCCGCCAGTAGTTCAGCACAGAGGAACAACATGGGTTGCCTTTCCAGATGCCATCTTGCATCAAATCTTACTGAGAGCCAGGATCTTCCTACAAAACAGCCTCTCTTCTGTTAGAGCACATAAGTGTGAGCTATGGTTTGAAAAACATATAAAATAAAATCAATCAGCTAAGTAAGCTAGGGTGAAAAAGTTCTTTAGGGCTGAATTTACATACAGAGACCTACCTAACTTCAAAGGTCTGGTTAAGAGAGAATTAATTTATTCACTTTATAAATTACACCAAGATTAATTTCTGGTTAATGAATTTATAATGAGGGATATACCTATAGCAAAACTATACTACTGTACCTTTTCTTTTTTAAACAAGATATGAAAATATGATGGAAAGCAGCACAGTTCAAAGAGTACTTGTTTGAAGAATTGGGGGTTCTAGTCCTTGCTTTGCCATTGAATAGTGGTGTGATTGTGGGAAGGTCCTTACAATCTCTGTGACTCACTTTTACAAATTGTAAAAGGTGAGTATTAGACTGATGATCACCAAGGTCTCTTCTGATTCTAAAGTACTTTGGAGAAAAATAGATCTGAAGTTTCACTGTTTTTTTCCTTCTTCTTATATATAATGATGGATATTTCCATTTTCCCATAATTATACTACTTTTGGACTTTTCTGGACAGCATACCTTCCTTCCCCAGGAAATTCATCATTAGCAAATCTCATTATACTACAAGATTGAATCTGCCTCGTACTCACATCTAATCAGGACCTTGATGCCCTGATCAGACTCTCTGGCTCATGGACAAGACCAAGAATCCCAGGGCCTCCATTTAAGAAAGGGGGTCAGCACAGTCTCCCAATTTCCCACCATCTATACTGTTTTTGGACTTCTTTGAACTTCATGTCCCTGTACCAGGTACCTCCATCCTCTTCCTCTCTTCTCCCTGCCCCATGGCTTTCCAGTTTCCTCTTCATTTTGTCTTTTCTTTTTAGATTGTAAGCTCCTTGAGGACAAGGAGTGCTTTTTAAAAAATTAGTATTTGTATTCCTAGTGCTTAGCACAGAGCCCAGAACATAGTAGGTGCTCAATAATGGACTGACAGTGAAATGAGTAGGCAGAAGGATGAGAAAAAAAGAAGTTCTTAATTGTACATTCAACAAACATTTATTAATTACCTACTATGTGCTATACACTGGAGATAAAAAGACTAAAACTGAGATGGTTGCAGACTTATAGATTTAGAAATGAAAGAAATCCCCTGCAGTCATCCACTCTTACCCTTTCATTTTAATCCTTCTCTTCAAGAAACTTGCATCCTACTGCTTAAAAAGGATAATCAAGACTGAAGATTTTGGAACTATTTTCATTTTTTGAATACAAAAAACAATTTCAACAAAAATATGCTTTAAAATAATATTTCTAAACCCTTTTAAATGTGCTTCAAAGACTTCACCTAGTTGTATCCAGACAGGAAAGGTTTCTCATTTTCCTACATTGTTTCTATTGCTTTGGAAAATACTTGAAGTAAAATTTGTTATATTAAATTTTGCATTGTTCTAGAAATGGAAAGCATTTCCTATATTCCTTTTTTCAGAGGGCAGCCTCCTATTATGTGAAAATTTATTTTAAAAATGTGTTTTATTTTCCCATCAAGAGTAGCAAAGAGATATTGGTTTAGACCTTGCTGAATTTTTTTTCCTCTTACTTTCTGAGTTACTCCAAGCACTCTTCATGCTTAGCTTCCCTGTATAGAACAGCTCCAACATGCAAATTGATGGCATTTGGGCAAAGGCTTACATTATTTTTTCCTACAACCAAAACTGCAGAGTCATATTTGGATCCCATCATCTCTTATCTTCAATTACCCAATTAACCTATTCAGATCCTTCAGCAGCATTTCCCAGTATTTCTGAATATTCATTAGGTGGCATGAACCATCCTACAAGAGACCACCACAATCACAAGGAAGACTATGGACAAAAGCAATAGGCAGCTTGTAATCAAGTCTCATCAATATTTTGGTATAATTTTCCTTTTAATTACATCCAAGTTCAATACCATCCATGCCTCATGACTATGGGCTAGTAACCTAGCCTCTCTAGGTGTGCCCAGGGTCACACAGTGTCAGAGGCCAGATTTGAACCCACGTCTTCCTGACTCTATGCCTATTGTTCCATCCACTGAGCCATCTGGCCATCTAGTCACTTTCCTTCCTTGTGCCTCACTGTACTTATCTGTAAAATGAAGGTATTGTTGGACTAGATGACCTCTAAGATCCCTTCCATCTCTAAATCTATGATCCTATGCCCATAAAATAAGTGCAGAAAATGAATTGTCAGTCATTTGGATCCAATTCCTTCTATTTTAAAACTTGTTTGGTCCAGTACCCCATGGCATAAGATCATCATAATTCAAGAAGAACATGCAAAACTATTACCTAACATTGCACGAGGAGGCAAAGAAAGTGGATGTTCACTATCATTTATCAAACCAGGAAGAAAACAGCAACAGAGACCCAAGCAGGAGAAGGTCACAGCCAATAACATGTCTGCAAATAGAAACGGGCTGCAGAGGCATCAGATGTAAATTACTGTTTGCTGAAGAATTTTAATGGAGTTCTACGTCACATTATAAAATGTTTAATTGTAACCCCATTTTAATAACACCATCTGATTAAATGAAAAGACGCCTTGCTGATCGCAATTACAATCTGTCAAACTGCATATTTATTTACAGTTCGGTTTCCTAAAACCATAAGATAAAAAAAGGAAACTCTATTCAGCTTGTCAGCAAACTATAATTATTGTGTATCCTTCTGTCAGTTTCCGCATAAAACTTTTGGTCCTAAAATGGATCTAATTATATCTACATCAACATTTTTATAAATGCTCGATTTTTTTTCTCCATCTCAGTGAAATCTTTGTAGTTAACTAGGAAAAACATTCTCTCTCTCTCTCTTCTCTCTCTATTTTTTTCATAAAGGCATTAGCTGAGTTCGTTTGCTTTTTTCCCTTCAAGATGTTATAAAATAAAACACTCTTTTCAAAATATAAAAATATTTGCTTATGTCCTTCTCTTTCTTGGCATGG